CATATAAATTTATATCTTCAAATGTTTCAATTAAGCAGAATAGTGAATTTACTGACATTTTTCTTACTGCTGATCTGTGCAAATACTGTAGTTTGCTGTAGGTGAAGATGGAGGTCTTAAAGTCGACAAACACATGCGCACGTCCCTGCCAGGTATCTATGCGGCCGGGGATATCTGCACGGCCTCGTGGGAACCCAGTCCGGTGTGGCATCAGGTAAATCAAGTCACGCGACTGTGCGCTCTGCAGCTGTCTCGTCTATGGAGTAAATGACCTGCTGTTACACCGGTGGGAGAAAAGGAAGTTTAATTGAAGCAGAAACCAGGGAACAAGTAGATAATGCTGGGTGTGTGGATGGCAGGTGATTTTCCCTGTGTGGCTGAAAGCCAAGCTGTTCAGCCTTCCTGAGCGTAGTGAAAATACGTAGTGGGCATTGCTGAGAACAGCGAGTGTCGGTCAGTGCACAGTGCTGTGTATCTGTGGTTTCAAATCTTTTTAATTTTTTTTTCTTTTTAGATGAGACTGTGGACTCAAGCTAGGCAGATGGGATGGTATGCAGCAAAATGTATGACAGCAGATGCTTTAGGGGAATCTATTGATATGGATTTCTGCTTTGAACTGTTTGCTCATGTTACGAAATTTTTCAATTACAAGGTAAATACAGTCTTAATAGTCTTAAACCACTGAGGAACACATTGCTTGCTTACATGCACTTGCTAACACTGAGCAGATGCTTTAATACGGACAAAACAGTTTTCTCTATGTATATAATGTGTAACTCCATTCATACTAACTTTGAATGCTGCAACCAGAGGGCAGCAATCTTTACAGATGCATTACAAATCTTCACTGGTGGATGACAACTGATCTACTTTGCATCTCTGTATATATTCTATTTCATTAAGTTTCTGTTTGTGGATAAATTCAACCCAGTTCAGCATGGTAACTGGTTCATTATTGGGTTTTGTGTATCTTTCAAGGTGAAGATTTTTAGTTCTATTGTGGGTTTGAAGGCCAGTGAAGGGGGCAAGCTCCCTAGGGACAAGTGTTTCCCTGTTTACATCAGTCTTTTGAAGCTTAGAACTGTTATCGGCAGAAATACCGAAAGCCCCTGCGATGTTCTTACGAGTGCTTTTCCTTTTTCCTCCTGTTAGGTGGTGGTTTTGGGAAAATACAATGCTCAAGGCTTGGGTTTAGACCATGAACTGATGCTGAGATGTACCAAGGGACAAGAGTATGTTAAGGTAGTGATGCAGAACGGCCGAATGATGGGAGCTGTGCTGATCGGTGAAACGGACTTGGAAGAAACCTTTGAAAACTTAATTTTAAATCAAATGGATCTTTCAGCCTATGGTGAAGATCTCTTGAATCCAGATATTGATATAGAAGATTATTTTGATTAAACAAAGCCCCATTTTGCATAAAGTTTTGACACTGAGTAATATGTCTTATAAAACTGTTTCCTCAGGATTACCAGAAATGAGGGATAAACGCAATTCCTTTTTAAGATTTTGTGTTGATCTTGCCAAAATACTGACTGGCAAATTAAATTAATCTGTGTAGAAATGCAGCAACAAAAGCAAGTGGATTAGTGTTGGCAAATGGTTTTTGTCTAGATTAGATGAGCGTATGAGAACGGGGCTATAACAGTCTTGAAAGGTGGGCTTCGCTGAGCTGTTAGCCAGCGCCGCATCCACGTGAATGCGAGGCAGCCTTCCCTTTTCAAAAGTAAGTAAAAGATGGTAAATCCGGTGCCTGCCCCATAGCCCCCTTCTTCCCCAGACTGTGCATAATGCACCTGCCACGGTTACCAGAGCCCGGTTCCCCCACAGCTCGCCGCCATGCGTGTTCCTTATCCCGGCCCGTAAGCCCCCCTCATGAGCCAGGATGCCTCAGAGCCGTGGTGCCCCCTTACCTGCCTAAAGCTGCCTCCGGATGTGCGTGGTGTGAGCATTGGCTGGGGCCGCTGCTCCCTCAAACCCCTTGCTCAGGTGAAGGTTCACGAGGCAGGCCCGCAGCGTGTTCCCACCCCGCTGTACCCGCCGCAGGTGCCGAGACGCCTGTTCCAGCTGACGGAACCACCGCTGTCGAGCTGGCGCAGGTTAGCGGAGGACGTCTTTAGCGCACAGGGCGCTCGGAGCTCTCACTGCCTGCAACGAGCTCTGCGAATGAACGGCAAGATGGATGCCTTACCTTTGTTCTTTTTTTTTTTTTTTTAACTTTATTTCTGGAATAAGTGTATTTTCTACTCAGCTAAGCACAGAACACACAAACTTTGAACAATGAAAGCCAGGATGAGATGTCAGCTGAGAGCAGCTTTTTTTACTGCTTGTCACTTCAGCTGTTCAGGTATTGTAGTAGAGCTGCACTGGGGCAGCCGGTCTGATCTCCAGCAGGATCGACGTGCAGCGCGCTCCCAAGGAAAGGCTGACAGCAGCACCGGTGGACGTCACCTGGCGAGAGCCTGTGGAGCAGGCTGTGGTGTCGGCGTGCGCGGTAGGTGGGACAGGACACCACTGTGAATGCCAGTGGGATTCTTCGTAGACAACTGTTCAGAGTCACGTCATGAAGGTGTTCGTGGGGACTGTGTGTCTTGGCCACTTCCTGCCCTCGCCTCACTTCCACTGTCATGCGTGTTGGTTCCAGGAGGGAATTCTTGCAGGTACTAAACACCAGTTTGACTTGTGGTAACTGGTGACAAAATACCCCCTGGTAAGTTGCAGATGGGGGTTTAAGCTGTTGGCTGTATGTTCAGTTACACAAGATGCACCTCAGTAATGGTGATGTGTACGTACAGGCGTGCTTCAATCAAGTTCCTCCTTTTGTAGTTGCCAGGCATAGTGTAGTGCCTGGGTGATAAAGCCCAACGATTTAAGCTGTTCATTAATGTCCTGTCTGTATTCCATCGTGCCATCCGTGGACATAGGTTGTTTCATTCTGCCTTTTGGGTTTGTTCTACAGTTGCTACTTGGGAGTTGCTGTTTATTTAGGGTCAAACCGGGAACAGTTTGTACCCCACTAAATGCAAAGTTGGCAGTGCATATGGAGACCTCTCCTGGAAAATCACTCTGTTTTTTAAGAGAATGACTGTTTAATTGAATGAACTAATTCTACTTTTGGCAAAGGTTTCAGTTAAATGATGGGTGAAATACTAAGCTTTAGTCACTGACAAGATTCTACCAGGACAATAAAGATGAAGAGCATGTTCATAATCATGTTTGGTTTATATTGAAGTTGGCATACATCTGCATGTCTGGGGGGCGGCAGATCCAAGATATTAAAAATAAAACCAAAAATTGCATCTGGCGTTCCCCCTTGTGCGTGCCTGAGCAGTGCTTCAAGTCAGCAGTAGCTGTTGAGTCTTTACTGCTCTGGCAGCGCAGTTGTTTGTGGGAATACTGATGTTTATCAAAGGAAGCCAGCAAGTACGTATTTGTACTTCATGTGCAGTTAAATATCCTCCGTGCTGAAATGGGAGGCAGAAAAAGCATGGCTGAAGATTTTCTTCGGTCCCGTGCTGAGGAGAGAGCTGGTGAGCCCTGGTGTAGAAGGGCTGCAGTCCAGGTAGCAGGGTGTGGTGTCCCGTTACAGGCTGGGTTCGGTGTAGCACGCCCTTCCTTACACAATGCAGAAGGTGGGGCTGAGCAAATAAAACGGTGTCGATGCACTTTAAATAACCAATTTCAGAGGATATTGATTATATAACCATAAACACGTCTTGACTGGGAAAAGCAGGA